GAAAAACTCTACACAATACCCACTCTTCCTGTTTTTTTGTCCAATAAAACAAATTTTGTCAAAATATGGATATATAGTAGATATTTGTACCAAGTCAAAGATCATCTTAGGTCAGCCATAAGCAAATCTTTATAAAATCGTCAGCAAAATCCATTTAAAAACGATGATCGTTCGGGTTAAATGTGAAACAAAAGAGAAAGTCAAAACTTTTGCCTTAATTCATGGGATAATATGATTACGACATCCCCGGCCGCTTGATCCATGGCTTAATTTGATATTTATATTCAAGAAACATATACTAAATAAACTATAGCAAGAAAATAACAAAATGTATTGAAACATCTAAAGAAAGCTTATGCTTATAATGAGTAAATAGATTGATAATTTAATTATACCTTGAGAGAATTAGGAGAATGGTGAAGAAGTGTTCCTTGGAGACGAAACTCGTGCATGACCCAATCGGTTTTACGACCTTTAGGGGCTCGACCACGGTAAAACACAAGTGTCTTTCTCATACCAACAAGACTACCATTTCTTTGGATTGCTCTATCTTTACCGGTTGCTTTCCAATAACCGGTGGCTGTAGCCCGGTTAGTTCTCTGACCGGTTGCGTATTTCCGATCTTTTTGGCTGTAAAAATACCATTCTTTACCTCCCACTCTCGCGGTTTCTGTACATTTGAAAATGACCTTTTCATATATTTATCGAACTTAAATATTGACAAGGAGTTAGGCGTTGAATGTGGAGTATTTATTTTGCATTTAACATACGTTAATTAATGGATTTTAGTTTTTAATTCAGGGGATATTTCCTCACATTGTATATATATACTTTTGAAACCTTATGATAAGATATAAGTAAGGAGAATTATTTTCAAAATTGTCTTTATCTGAATGACATATTCAATAATATCCAAATGATTTATGTCCGCATCGTATCTTAACTAACCAGCTTCCCAATTACCTAGCACCGAATAAGCAACCAACACGCGTGCGTGATGATTTGTTATCATTAGACAGATTAAATTGAAATTTCTTAGAAGAAGAGAAAAATTAAGCAATACTATATCGTCTAATGAGTGCGTAATAAGCATTAATAATTGTGCAGTTACATGGGTCTTTTTCACGAGGAAAAATAAGAAAGATACTAGTAATATGCAGCTTGTTCCCACTTTAAACTTCGGTTTCTTTCTAATCTTTTTTGAGATTGTAATTATTATCAATCAACAAGTTGTGATCTTGTATTCGAAATATGGAAGAAACAATAAACAAATCATTTAGTCAAGAAGAAAATAGACATGGATTAATTAATTACGATCGAATGGTTAACCTATATGATCTATGAGTTGAGAGATTTTGTGTACAAAGACATACAAGCTTCGTGTTTTTCTGAATGCTTTTAAATCAATCTAATAAGAGTATTCATAGAAATAAGGGAAAAAAAAAAGAAAAGAATAACTTACTAGGAATGTCCCAAGGCTCGCACTTATTAAGATCGACTTCGATCAAGACAATTGGTTGATAGAGACTGTGACCGGTTCTTTTCATTAAGTAATCGCAGACAAGCTCGTCGTCTCTCGGGTGGAATCTAAACCCAGGAGGTAGGTTAGCTTCAACCATGCTTATACTACCTTTCTTGATCTCTTCTTTAGTCTCCATTTCTAGTGATATATATCTAAAGATTTGTGTTTAGTTAGTGTTTTATTATCATCTGATGATAGGTTAATATAACTGTGTAACGAGGGGAGAGAAATATAGAGAGAGATGGATATATAGAAATATGAGTTTTGAGCAGGAGATGAAAGAAGAACGGTGGTTTAAATAATTAAGGGATTATAAAAAGTCAACTTCAATATAATGCTCTATGTAACTACTACTATAATCTAACATTTTTCTGTAACCACTAATATTAATTTAAATGGCGAAGAATTTATAGGTGTTGAACTTGAAGGGATGTAACTTTAAGTTTAATTTTGGGTTTCTTATAAATCTAAAATTTCATAACATTTTCCAGTCAAGCTTTTTGAGTTTTGGCTTCCTGAAATTTTGAAAATCTAGTTTTTCTCTAACTTTGAAAACCTTTGAGCTTTGGTTTTTAACTAAAACTAAAAACTCTAAAAGATGGCTGGATCAGTTTGTGCTCAATCAGTAATTTAATTATTACAACTTTTATCCTTTATTGCGTGAAATACAAAAGGAGAAGCAGCATAGTCAACAAATAGAAACTCCACAATTATTTTATTCGTGAACATTGAATATTTAGGTGTGGCGTAGGATATTATTTGTGTTGCTACAAAACAAGTAAATAGTGTCTGAACAAGCAAAAGTACAGAAGTAATAACAAGTCGGACCATTTATAGTTTTAAGACTGAAGTCACGTTTCGTTCATGTGGCATTGAGTTATAGTGTGTTTTGTCGCTTGTGAAACGGTAAATTATGGAAGCGAATCGTACCAGCTTAGTTATGGGAGACAACGTTTTCTTTGACTTGCCTAAATTTCACTGTTACTTTTTTACTAATTTGGAGGAAGACAAATAATAAATCCATGCCATTGCATTTCGTTTATTGTACTTTGAGTCTATTCTATTGGATTGGATGTAACATAAAACCTTTGAAGAATGTGAGTGTGACGTAAACAGTCCATATACATATGCAAGTACGTGATTTTTTTCATATGGTTGATTTATTAGAATTTAACGACAGTATATTACAACGAAACCTCTAAATTGTATTGCACATAAAAACATGCTATCTGATTATATGCACATATATTTAACAAAACCTCTAAATTGAAAATTTCGAAGAATATGTGATTGTGCGTAATAAATATTTGTATTTGTACCTTCTGTTTCTGAGTACTTGTATGTCCGGATTAATACCGATCAATAACATAAATGGATTATGTCATATCGTTTACTTATCCTAAACCAAAAGTTAATCTATTATTAAATATCATCCTTTTGATAGATTGCATGTAACTATATTCTTGTATTGTTCTTTTTGGTCCGCTCCATGCAACTATTCGAAACATAGTTTTGTTATGTCTACAATGGCGAAATGTTTGAACGTAAAAAAAATTCCAATGAAAATTAGGACGTTAATATCGGTTAGACTGTTTA